GGAAAAGAGGGCAGGGGGGAGGATAGAAAGGTAAAAAGAAAAGGAAAACCCTGATGTGAAATCCCTCTTGGTCCTACCACAGATGTGACAGGCGCCCCGGAGGCTGCTCGCAACTGCTCGCCAATAACGCGGAGGGAGTTTGGAAACCCGATCGGTGCCTATCTTTCCTTTAAAAGGTATTAAATTATCATTAAAACCTTGAAAAGCGAAGCTGGAAGACGAGGGCCTTTGGGAGGGGGGTGTCCCCTCTGTCTCTTTGCCCAGGGATGCACCCACAGCCCTGCAGCGAGGCCTGCAACGGAGCGCGGGGGGACGGGCTGGAGATTTTTGTTCCCTTTTTTCCTTTCTCTTTTCTTTTCCTCAATATCGGGAGGGATCAGGAGGCAGCAGCCGGCACATCGGCGGCTCTGAGAGCCCAGGCTGCTTCCCCCGTGCCCACCCGCAATCCCACCCCCACGCACCGCAGCTTTCCACGCGCGGGCCGCGAGAAGGTGACAAAGGTTTTAAGCGACTTACCTCGAGTGACAGCTCTGCCGGTGGCACGGTGCTCAAAGCGGTGGCTTTTGGGGAAGAGGGGAGGGAGAAAAGGGGGTCTCTGCCCCTCTGGCTTTTTATTCTCCATCCCCCCACCCGCCGTGTTTGGATCTGGCACCGCCGGAGCCGAGCGTCCAACTCCAGGCACGGAGCCGCGAAACTCCAGCACAGATTTATATACACCCCCCTCAAAAAAGCCCCAAAAAACCCCAAACAAACCAACCCACCCTCATCCCTAAAGCAGCTTCGGAGCAGCCGAGGGGTCCGAAGCCCGTTCCCGGCCCCGGAGCGGCGGCGGAGGCAGAAAAGGGCATTTCGCGAGGCAGCGGGAGTTTTCGCCGATTTCTTTTTATTAAAGCACCCCCGAGCCCGTGTTTACATTGCGCAGTATAAACATCCTGCCCGGGCCCGCCGAGCTTAAAAAGAGCGCACGAAGAGGGGGTTTGAAGCGGGTGAAGCTGCGCGCAGCGCGGAGCCGCCGGCCGGGCAGCGCCGCCGCCCCACGCCGCGCGCGGAACCTCCGCGCTGCCCTGACCCGCGTGGAGCCCGTGCCGCGCTCCCCAGGGCCGGGAAGGGGCGCAGGGAGAGGGCGGAGGAGCCGCGCGGCGCGGCGCGGTCACGCGTGGCATCAGTCCCAGACACACACACGCACACAGAGATCCACGCGCGGTGCCCTCCGCGGCGGGCAGGGCTGCGGCGGGCAGCCCCCTCCGGGTGGGGCAGGGCGGCGTGGAAAGGGCTCTTTAAAAGCTGCCCACCGGCGGGGAGCGGCGGCGGAGGGGGCCGGCACGGCGGGCGGAGGGGCCGCCCGGGAGGGCGGGGGGGGAGCGGCTCGGGGCGGGGATCTCCGCTCCGCGCTTACGTCTGTCAGGAGCGGCAGACGCCGCTGCAAGAGATAAAGTAGAAGGCGAGCGGCGGGGCCGGGGGCAGACTCGACAGGCACCGCGATGGGAAGCAGCTCCCCGCAGCAGCGGCAGCGCCAGCGCAGCTAAAGGCTCCGGAGGGGACGGCGGCGGCCCCGGGAGCCCGGCCCGGCCGGGGGCAGGCGCAGCGGCGGCCCCGGCTCCGCGCTCGCAGCAGCCGAGCCCAGCTCGCTTCCACCCGCCCCCCCATCCCGCCTCCCTGCGGCCCCCCCGACCCTCCGCCTCTCGCTCGCCTTCTGCAGCCGCGCTCGGATTTAGGGATAAAAGTGGGAGGAGGCGGCAAAGCGGGGTGGGGGGGTGGCTGGGGGGGTGTCGTCGCTTCCATTTGTTTATCCACGGAGGGGTGAAGCCTCCCGGTGGAAAGCGAAGCCGCCGGGGGGCCGGGGTGGTGGGTGAGTGGCGGCGAGCCCCCAGCAGCGCGGCCTTCGGCGGGGGCGCTGGGGGGGCGGCGGAGGAGGGCCGGGGCTGGGGCTGGCCGCCGCGGACCTGGCCCTAGATGACTGCAGAAGCGCAGCAGGCTCTGTCCTCTCAGCCCCCTCCTCCTCCGGTGCACAGCAGCTACGGCCCCATGTCCTCCGTGGCTGAGAAGCAGCCGCAGAGCTCGGCCATGGACGCCGCCTCCGCGGGGACCGGCGGCGCGGCCGGCAGCGCCCCGGGCAGCGGCGGGGCCCCGGGCAGCGGCGGCCCCAAGGCGAAGAAGACGAACGCGGGGATCCGGCGGCCGGAGAAGCCGCCTTATTCCTACATCGCCCTCATCGTCATGGCTATCCAGAGTTCTCCCTCCAAACGCCTGACCCTCAGCGAGATCTACCAGTTCTTGCAAAGCCGCTTCCCTTTCTTCCGAGGCTCCTACCAGGGCTGGAAAAACTCGGTGCGCCACAACCTCTCGCTCAACGAGTGCTTCATCAAGCTGCCCAAGGGCTTGGGACGCCCGGGCAAGGGCCACTACTGGACCATCGACCCGGCCAGCGAGTTCATGTTCGAGGAGGGCTCGTTCCGCCGCCGGCCCCGCGGGTTCCGGAGGAAATGCCAGGCGCTGAAGCCCATGTACAGCATGATGAACGGGCTCAGCTTCAACCACCTCCCCGACAGCTACGGCTTCCAGGGCTCGGCCGGCGGGCTCTCCTGCCCCCCCAACAGCCTCTCCCTCGAAGGGGGCTTGGGGATGATGAACGGGCATTTGTCCAGCAACGTGGAGGGGATGGGCCTGGCGGGACACTCCGTGCCCCACCTGCCCGCCAACGGTGGGCACACCTACATGGGCGGCTGCACCGGCTCCTCGGCCGGGGAATACCCGCACCACGACAGCTCCGTGCCCGCATCGCCGTTGCTCCCCGCCGGCGGCGTGATGGAGCCGCACTCGGTTTACTCCAGCTCGGCCTCGGCGTGGGCGCCCAGCGCCTCGGCGGCCCTCAACACCGGCGCCTCCTACATCAAGCAGCAGCCCCTCTCGCCCTGCAACCCCGCGGCCAACCCGCTCTCCTCCAGCCTCTCCACGCATTCCCTCGACCAGCCCTACCTGCACCAGAACAGCCACAACACCGCCGACCTCCAAGGTAAGGCGCGGCCACGCGTGGGGCGCGACCGCGGGGCTCGGGCTGGGCTGCGGACCCCGCGTGGATCCCGGCGGGGCCGCTGCCAGCCGGGACCCCGCTCCGGGAGCGGCTTTAGTGCTGCTTTAGGGGATGCTGCCCTGCCCTCG